CCGCATTCCGCATTTCACATGTCACAGATAAGGGAGCGAGCAGCAAGCGACGAGTGACGTTAAATCAATGAGCCAATACTTACCAGAAAGAGAGAAGAACTAATAAGAGTTACAACAGAAATTAACTTTGCTTCGAATATGCATTAAATGGGCGCATAAATAAGCAAATACCAAGGAAAAATCCAAACACAAAGACAAGAACAAAACCTAATTGGAATACCAGGAAAAAGAGCTAAATATATGTAAGACAGATTCAATATACATTTTGGGTGATGCTTTGAAGAAAAAGCTTTTCGAAAGTAACTTAAGACAATAATAACAACATCTCCCACGAGAACTTCCCTGTGTCGAAATGGAAGCGAAATTATCTGTGTATGCAAGCATGAGCACATATCAAAAAGAAGAGCAGACGTCCTCATTTGTATCATGAGCAAACATCTTCATTAGTGCCAAAACAAGACACTTCCTTGTGGCTATTGTGTCGGAATACTTCCTGTGTCTGGCCTCTTGTCTCATGAATAAGAACTGTCTCTTCCATTCGCCCTTCAATCATATCTCCGTCTCTCGTTTCGACAGCTGTCCATCAAATACATTCAATGTACGAATGAATTACACATCTAATTAAATAAAGAAACTCAAGACTGTAGACAAAAAATTCACCAAATTTAAGTACAAATTTTGGCAAGCTTAAAAAATTAAACACACAAAACGTAAAACAAAGAAAAGCCGTCAGCAAAATGTGTAACCACAGAGCGAGAATTGTGGTTAATACTTTTAGAAAACAGAAAGTAAAAAATGGAAAGAAAGTACAAAAATAAATGTGAGGAAAAGTGCCAAAAACAGGCATCAACATCAAATGCCAAAGAAGTTAACACAAAAATTGGGGGGCAAAAAATGGGCCGAAAATTTGTAACAAAAAGAATACAAAAATTGTACCCCAAAGGGAGGGGATGGAGGAAGCTGGGACCACAGCAATTACAGGCAGCAGCAATCGAAAAAAGGGAAGCCAAAACGTAGAGAGAAAAAGTCAAGAAATTTACACTTGCACACGAGGAGAAAATTGCTGGAGAAAAGTAGAAAATGGGTAGGAATTAGAAAATCACCCTACGGGCATCGTAGGCCACATCCTAAACAAAGTCACTCCTGCCACAATGCCACAGAAGTGGGAGTGCTGGTAGAAAATATAGGATTTATTCCCTGCAACAAAGCGGAAAAATTGTTTCGGTTTTTTTTTTGTTTTTTTTTCTCTTTTCTTTTCACATAAACCGCAAGTCATATTCGATGTGGCCATTGATTGTATTTTGATTGTTGAACGGAAAGCTAAAGGGGAGTAAAAATCAGCAAACAAAGCAGGAAAATATGCCCTGTAGAGCCGGGAATCAATGGAGATGAATGGATAATCACTTATATGAATCAATCGTTAAAAAATCAACACACTGGAGGGAGGAAGCATAAGCTACTCTGTCAATGCATAGTTTTTGATGAATACCCAATTAAATGCCTCTATATCGATACTATTCCCAAAATATATATGCAAAAATTATAACTAAATTCTGTAGAGTTTTCTATAGAATATAGGGTTTTGAACACCCGATTTTCTACTTTTCCAAACATCTTTCAGCTAAAAAAGCGTTCTGGGAAGCTTATCCACTGACCAATTGAGAGATACTCTGTCGGCGCAGATACAATTTTTTCCAGGGTATGTGGTACCTTTTTTATGACTACGGATGCGATTCTGATTGCCAGTTTCCAAAGTAAGGCCAGCACATGGCCATGAATGCTGCATGTCAAGAGTTCAATTATGTCGCTTGACTCTTTGCCCCAGAACCTCTCCTGATCCTTCTTCTTTCGTCTGGTCTCGTCTGTGTATCTGTTTCCTGTCTCTTCTTTTACTTTCGCTCTCTTTTTTATGGACAGAGAGAAGCACACTTTTCGCTAAGTAGAACCACAAATATTGCTATGTGTGCCACATGCCACTGCTGCTGCTGCTGCTGCTGGTGCCCGTGCCCGTGCTGAGCGGATTTCCGACCCCAAACTCACACGATAAACTGAAACTGAATCTGAAATGGAGACCCAACAGGCAGCACCGACAGGCACCAGGCAGCACGTGGCACGTTTACCTTCTGGCATAATTTCCCCCTCGTTCTACTCTCGCCGCATTCCCCAATGATACTCGCTAGCCGGAAAATGCTGAAAATGTATGCCAAAGCTTTTTTATTTTCGTACATTTTCCAATGGCTGCTCTGGCTCTTCTGGCTCTAACTGCACATGAGAAGGGCTCTCACAATCCCATGGGCAGCGTAGGGCTGCGGCAAGCTGCTTACCCGAGGAGAGCGCACATGGAAAACTCAGCACTCACTCGTACATTTCCCTCAGATGTATGCTCATTAGACGAGCTCCCCCCAAACCCCCAAAAAAGTAGAGACGAAAACAGAAACAGAAAACACGCCCTGCAGCATTTTTTCTGTTCTGCCTGGACATGCCACAGATATTTGGCCTGCACTTTGAGTGTTCAGGGAATGGGAAGGGAAAAGGCAATTCCATTGGCCAACCCATACAAATTGCCCTTTGGCCATATTGTGCCTGGAAATTAACCATTTTCAGTGTTAGTTTGGTGCTGCTTTGAACAAGTCTACCTCTTAATCCTGTTTATTTTTGAAAGGGTTTGCCTTTTTGGCCAATGGATGATATTTTCAGTTGAAAACTGATGATGCTCCACAATGCTATCTCGCTGTACTTTTGCTCCATGATGATTATAATTAACCGAAAGTATCAATTGATAACAGAAAACAGTCGGAAAATGCTGCTAAAATGAGGGAATTCAAATATCAATTGCAGAGCAATTAAGAGTGCTAATCCCCAATTGAGTGGACCATTCAAGCCATTCAAAACATGTGGCAAGTGTCAAATGGGGCGTGGCCACAAACTGTAATAAAATTGAGACAACAGATGCAGGGGAGGAGCGAGACTAGGCGTGTGGGGATAAGCATTAGTCTAGAGTAGGCTCTATCCAAGGCATTAATAATCCAGGAGTAGAGCAACGACAAATGACAGCCTTCGCCAATGGCTTCATTACATCATTTAAATGCCTGTTGTGTTGTCTATTAAGCGGCCACGAGTGCCCTGTCCCCCTTCTCTGCTGCAACCTCTTAAGTGCGTGGCAGTGGCAGCTGTCAGTTGGGAAGGCAAGCAGCACAGCAAGCGAGCGACTTGTGTAGCAAAAGATTCTGTTCTGTTCGGTTCGGTTCGGTTCTGCTGTTCCTGTCATCGTCAACAAGTCGTTTAGGGGGCCGGGGGAGAAGTCACGTTACGTGACTTGTGGCACAACTTTAAGGGACATTAATGCCACTAGTTCTGGCATTCCGAAACTTCTGGTAATAAGCGGCATACGTTGCGTATTAGTTACATTAGTGGAAAAACCATGGCAAGGCCACAGAACAAGAAGAACAGGAAACCCTCGACTACATTTGGTCTTTGTGTATTTTCCATGAAATGAAATCCAGTTCAATTATGATTTTAGTCGGAAAAATGTGTGCTGGGAAATTTGGCAAATATTTCCACATATTTAAAGCTTTTCTTCCCTTAAAGGGAAAGTCATTTCGGCCCACTTCGATGCTTACATTGAGTGGATTAATTATTCCCCTAAATAAAACTTATGTCCCATGTGGCATGGAGCTTAGCCCGCTTTTCCCCCTTGCTTAGACAGACTTCCCACAAGGCAGAGACCTAAGCCTTACATTTTGGGGAAAATCTCTGAACCAAAATCATTTTTCTGTAACGATTTAATCACTGTAAAGGAACTTGCTCTGAAGCCAACAGCATCTGGTGTCGGGTGTCAGAGAAAAAAAAAAAACAAGATTTTCCGCACCACTAAATCGCCTAACAAGATGAAAATGCATGGAAAATGATGAAAATTGAATTTGTTTCTTGGTATATTCTTGATAATCTCTCACTTTATGGCTGACAAAATATCTTGTTTGGTTTTGGTTTGTCGGTCTTTGTTCGGTTTCAAAAATGAATACAATGGAATGCAATTCCTACAGGGGATTTATGGCTAAAACACCTAGGAAAAATCTATAAGAAAAATGGAAAACTACTAGCAGGCAGAGAAATATCAGTGCAAATAAACAGAGAAAGGGAAACACTAGCAAAAATCACACAAATAAAGAAAATCAAGCACAGAAAAAGTGTCAGATGGTCATGAAAATGCTTCGAGTGCTTGGAAATTGTCTGAATGGCAACAACAAATTTTAATTAAATGTTAGACATATTTTTCCATGACTCAAAGTTTGGTTTCCGATTCAGGGCAACAAGCTGCATGCCCTGCCCCTTTGCCCTTCTTCGGTTTGGTTGCATTTTCTTTGCATATTTTCTCATTTGTCTAATGGAATTACGGGCACTCAGATCTAAAGGTCCTCTTACATTGAGAGTAAGGCAGAGTGGATACAAGTAGAGTCTCAAATTCAAGGAGAGGGATAGCGGTGCATTGGGCTTTAACTGAAGCTGCACTGAAGGAAGGGATTGTCCAACGGGCTTTGATTGAAACGAAACGAAATTAGTCTATCATTCCCGCCTTCTGACTGGTGTCCTTTTGCCTTTATGCGTAATTTTAATTGAAAATGTTGCATATTTATGCTTGTGTTTGGATTTCTGTGTGAATTTCTCTGTCGAATAGTTTGAGCAAACGATTCTTATCAATCAATCAATCAAGTATCAATGCTTGTTTTTAGAAGCTAAAAACAGAAAATTCCATTCCAAATTGACTTTCCCTGCTTTAAGTTATCCTAACATTCCATTCAAATTTCAGAGTTCAAAGGTACATTAAATTCCAATTTGTTCATATTTTGTATGTAATTTCGTGCCCTGAACCTCAACTTCAACTTGAATTTTGCATTTTCGTTTGCATGTGGCATGCAACATTTTTTGATCATCACGTAATAAAAGTACGTGTGTTCTGCCACTTCCATTGAAATTTATGCTTTCTGTTTGTTTCATTACAGGATACAACCAATCCACGCAATCGACACGCTGCTTGAATATTTAAACATCACAAATATTGGGAACTTCGAACAGAAAACAGGAAAAACGTAATTTTAATGAGACGACAAAGCCGCTGGCTGCCGCCTGTCGCCTGCCACATAGACAACAGCTGAAAGGGGAGAGGGAGAGGAGAGGGAGAGGCAGAAGCCGCAGCAGCAGCAGAAGAAGGAGCAGGAGCGACACTCAGCACTCGGTGCTCCGCCAGCGGTCGAGTCAATCAACGGAAGACCAGCAGCTCCTGCACTCAAAATTCATTGGACAACAACATCATCATGGTCACGAACATGTCGCAGCCGCATTATTGCGGCACTGCCATCGATGATTTTCACACAAAGTAAGCGAGGAGGCACAGAGGGTTTTTGATTTTACAGGGGGGTGGGGGGTTGGGGGGAAGGGGGAGAAAGCCAATGGCATGAGGAAAAGCACCATGCATAGAGCCAAGGACACACATGTGCTGCATGCTGCTGATGTCTGGCCCTGGGGATATCTGCATATTAATTACTTTTGATACCCTGTACCCTAAAGCAGAGCAGAAGGAAGCTAATCCGACCATAGATAATCGATTGCCATCCACTCTATCATGGCTGTTTGTTACTTTTTGGGAATGTTTTATTTTAAGCAGTTGAAATTATGATTTTGGCTGCAGAGTATATTATTCGTAATACCCAACTGTTAAATCAAATGGAGATTAGTTGGGAAAATCCAATAGAATATTTTAGAACATTTAGAAGGAATCTTTTGTATATTAATATCCAAAAGAAATTCTAGAAAGAAGCATTTTACGCTCCCATAAATTTGCATCTTATTATGATTAATCAAAAGAGTTTTGTTAGCTTCAAATAAGAGGGCATCTTCTAGTCTATACATAGGCTGCCTCTTTGCCCAAATGCAATTTGCATAATGATTTGACAGCAGCTGGTGCTAAGCCCGAGCCACATATAATATAATCATGTGTGTAATGACCTTCTCTGGGGAAAAAGGTGTGCAAATCGCTTCCAAAACGATTCAACTCTAATCAGAATTTTCCCCTTCTCTTTTGCAGCTACAAATATTTTCATGGCTACTTCTCGCTGATTGTCTGCCTGCTGGGAACGATAGCCAACACTTTGAACATCATTGTGCTGACACGCCGCGAGATGCGCTCCCCAACGAATGCCATACTCACGGGTCTAGCGGTGGCCGATCTCGCCGTGATGCTCGAGTACATACCCTACACGATCCATGACTACATACTGAGTGCCAGCCTGCCGCGTGAGAAGCAATTGAGCTACCAGTGGGCATGCTTCATCAAGTTCCATTCGGTGTTCCCGCAAGTGTTGCACACAATCTCCATTTGGCTGACTGTCACGCTGGCCGTGTGGCGCTACATTGCCGTCAGTTATCCACAAAGGAATCGCATTTGGTGCGGCATGCGAACGACTCTCATTACCATTGCCACTGCGTATGTGGTGTGTGTGCTGGTGGTGTCCCCCTGGTTGTATCTCGTCACAGCCATTGCCAAATTCCTGGAGACGCTCGATGCGAGCGGCAAGACGATCCATTCGGAGCCATTGAGTCAATACATTTTGGACTACAATCGCGAGGAGGATACCATCACGATGCAGGTGATGTCCAGCACAACGCCAGAGATCTCTTGGATGCAGCACAGAGCCTTCAGCAACGTTTCGCTCACCACAGCGGTGCCTCTGACAACGACCACAATTACAGGGGAGGACTTGCCCGTTGTGCGAAATGTCACCGTGTTCAAGCTCTATCACAGTGCTCTCGCGTTGCACGATCGCCAGCTGAGGAATGCCACATTTCTCATCTACAGTGTGCTCATTAAACTCATACCCTGCTTCGCTCTGACGGTGCTCTCGGTGCGACTCATTGGCGCCCTGCTGGAGGCCAAGCGACGACGCAAGGTGCTGGCCTGCCATGCGGCCAGTGACATGCAACCGATTGTCAATGGCAAGGTTGTCACGCCCACACCCACGCCCAAGAGCTGTAAGCTGCTCGAGAAGGAGAAGCAAACGGATCGCACCACACGCATGCTGCTGGCGGTGCTGTTACTCTTTTTGATTACCGAATTTCCACAGGGTATTATGGGTCTGCTGAATGCCCTCCTGGGTGATGCCTTCTTCCTGCAGTGCTACCTGAAATTGAGTGAGTTTTCCCTAGCTTCGGGGGTGCCTCTAGTTACTCCTCTTATGATGTAATTTCCCTTTGGTTTTGATTCCTCTCTTTTCCAGGTGATTTAATGGACATTTTGGCTTTGATCAACTCCAGCATCAACTTCATTCTCTATTGCTCGATGAGCCGACAGTTTCGCACAACCTTTACCCTGCTCTTTCGACCCCGTTGGCTGGACAAATGGCTGCCTCTCTCCCAGCACGACATCGATGGCCGCCACGGTGGACAGCGGGAGGGTGGCGGCAGGCAGCGACTGCTACACACGGATGCTGTGAGTAAGAGCATGGCCATCGATCTGGTGGGTCTCACGACGCAGGTGACAAATGTGTAGCACGAGAGCAGTGGCCGTGCAAACACTGCATCGGCCATGGCAGCAGGAGGGGGAGCATGTGGAGGAGTGTCGTCCTCGGTGGTTGATGGATGTGGTGTGGATACAACAAATGACATCAGTATGGTGGAAATGTTGCACAGGGAACCAGCCCCTCCTGCTCCTCGTCAACAGACCAGGGGAACTTCCAGCACCTCACGCCGCAGGCAACGCCGTGGCAGTGGAAAGTGCATTTGGCCCACCACCGAGTGGCTGCGAAAACTGCGAGCCAACAGCAGAACGCTTAGTCGTACGGGTGCCAGCGCGGAGCAGCTGCAGCAGCAGGATCATCAGCAGCAGCAGCAACAGCAGCAGCAGCAGCGACGCAGCAGTGTTCTGCTGATGGTCCTGCTGCACAGTTCATCCAACGATGAGATGAAGGCCAAGGCGGTGCTCGTCAGTGAGGAGCAGCAGCAGCGGGAACGACAGCGGCAGAACCTACCGCAGGACGAAGTGGAAGATGCCATCGATGCTCTGTGGCTGTAAAAAACCCCTTAGATAAGCTAATAACTAATTAACGAATTAATTAACTAATAACTAACATTTAGATAAAGACCAACAACAAAATTGTTTTCTATTGCTGCTTACATGCCCAACCCCCAGCTAGGCTTATCAGGTGCGGATCGAGAGCCCCTTTCTGCAGCTGCTTTGCTTTTGTCGTGGGGGTGGGGCAGGCGAAAGCAGCATACAACACACATTTTGTGGCGCCACTGAATAAGGTGATAATTAACTTTAAGAGTGACCTTTAACCCCCCTCTAACTCTAGTTGTGTAAGTGCAAAGCGCAACATTTAGTTATAGTTTAACTATTTAATGGAATAATTTCTAAGCATCTAAGCTGACCAGAAATATAAATCTATATCTTTTCTTATGGAAAATAAAAGGAACAAACAAAGCAAAGCAACAACTCGCTGTAACTTTTAATCTCTTAATTATTTAAGTATTAAATTCCAGCAATTAAATTCGACTCTCAATTAAATTTTATTTCCCCTTTAAGCTGCTGTATCCTTTGTCCCGCATTCCGCTGTCATTCGGTTACCATTCTGCTCGCTGTGAGGCCAGAATGAAATAAACGACAAACAGCGACAAATGACACTAAAAAGTGAGTGTAAAAACAAATGGCAGCATAGCGTTTGGCAAGCGTTGATTAATTGTAAGTTTAATCTAAAGGTAGGGGGGGACCCAGGGCAAGGCAATTGCGTATTTGTCAAAGTAAGATACCCAGCAGAAAGGGAACTGTAACCAGAAGCCAAATAAAATAAGTAAAATAGAAATAGAAATCGGTTGGCTTTTTTTACAAGGGAGAACTAGAGCCAACGAGAATATCCAGAAAATTGCACAGAAGTTCTGGGAAAATTTATCATAAATGAGAGATAAAAGTTCAAAAGAAGGCTCTGCCTGTACACTTCCTTTTCATCTTTGTTTTTCGAATACACGAAAAACCAGCATGTAGGAACTATTTCTAGAATCCTCTAAGATTCATTGCTGTAAGCTTTCGATTAAAATTTTACTACAATATTTCCAACAGACTCATGCCAAGTATGTACATTCCGTCCCTATATATTTCAACTTTCCTCTCAAACTGAAAATAATTGTATAGGGTATAACACAAAAAGCACAAACAGATGACCCAATTCGTAGCCTGCTAATGGCCAGTACTTCAGCATTCGTTCAAAGGGCGATTGGTGCTTAAAATATGATGTATATTCATGGCTTTTAATGCAAAAACAAAAGATACTTTCTCCAAAAAAGATGCCTCAATCGATTAACAACAGCAGGAGCTTCCCTCCTGGAGGAGCCTTCTGCTCTTCGGAAATTAGAAAATTCAAAGTGTTTCATCACTCACTGGGAAGGGAGTGTCATTGTGTGTCCCCCCCAAAGGCGGAGACTGTCATACATTTTTGATAAAGGACCTGCCAAGCAGACTATGGCGTGGGCGCAGATGAGCATTAAATTTCCCTTCCAAGACATTGCCTGGCACAATTTTCACTTTTGATCAAGAAAATTATACTTTTAGACCCACATTTATTTATAGTTTTTCATAAATTCATATTTTCCGATTCATTAAGTATGAAATTAATAGATTTTCACTTTTATTCGTTTCATAGTTACATAAAAAAATAAAAAATACACTCATCACTTATGCAAATGATGGTAAACCAGAAAAAGCCAATGAAGAAAATGTGTTTAAAAAAACGTGGGAGTAAAATATGAAAATTAATAGAGTTTTTTTGTGTTAAAGGATGAAAATGATGAGTAAATCAGTGGAAATTATGGCATAATTTATAAAAAAAACAATATGAAATGAATGAATAATATGAGTATTTGCTGATTACGATGCCTAAAAGCCAGCGACAATTATTTTATTTAAATGAATTACAAGGCTTTAATGGAGCTAATATATGTATAATTCATGTACTTTTTTTCAAGTTTAAAATTAATTTGAATGTCAGAGAAGGTTAGGAAGGGCAATGAAAAAGAAATGCTTTTTCGCAATGCATTAAAAAACATTATAAAATATACAAATTTCAGCTCTTTAAGTGAGAAGTCGCTTGGAAAAAAACAAATGAGAAAACGGGAACACCGCTAAAAGGGAGAAAATGGGACAAATGGGTTAGCAAAGCGAAAAGAACAGTTCGAATATAGTGCACCCAATGGAAAGTAACGGGACACACACATGCAAATGGCACCACAGAACCCACAAGCCACAACATCCATCACTCTGTTTCATCAGCCAAACGACCGCTAACAGAGAACAGTTTATGGTTTTTGGTAACAAACTACATTTGGCTACCCTTTAAACGCTGTAAATAAAGCAAACTTTCCGTTTAATTGCAGTGGTAATTTCATTTGCTGGAATAAACCAAATCAATTATGAATCAATTGAATCCATTTTCCAAATTTCAAAAAACATTGCCCAACTAAAACCTTAATTAATTATTGAAATGGGGTGCAAATAATTCACACGAAAAATCCCCTCACTCGCCTATTTCGTTTGTTCTTTATGCAGTTATAATATGGAAAATATTACCTTAAACTCCATATCATATTTTCCACGCTATTCCCTCTTCTCTTTTCCTCTTTCTTTTCTAAAATTTGAAAATATTCCCGCACTTGTTTCCGCTAAATCATCATCAGTAGCCTTGCGTTAATTATAAAACCCACTGGAGGGCAGAGAATTTTCCCAAATGCAATTGTTACAAATTTCATTGAATTAAGCGCCACATGAAGGCCGTGTCCGAGCAGGACCTAGAACTTGCTGAGCGAGAAGCCATGGAGAAGTAGCCTTGGCTGTGAAAATTTTCGACTGTTTAACGAGTGGCCCCAAGCTGGCGGAGCAAAGGCAGCAGAGGCCAAAAAAGGAATTAGCATAATTGTTGGGTCTGAACGGATGGGAGAAAATTCAAATTAAGGGGAGGCAACGGCAACGGCACCAACAACAGCACCAGCACCCCCCTCTCTAATTACACTGTAATTTATGCCTGACCCTTCGCTCGATGTGTGAACATTTTTGCCAAGCCATTTCATGTCAAAACTTTTGATTGATTTACGTTACGCTCGGGCACTCTGCTCTCTATCGCTCTCTCTCTCTCTCTCTCTATATAATATCCCATCACGCACAGAATAGGCTGTCAGTCATTGCATTTTTCACTGCCCCTTGAATGGGTTTTCGTGTTGTCTCATTGATCGTTTATTAATGGAAGAAAAAACTCGAAGTTTATAGCGAAAATTCATTCTACAGCACATTTTTTTCTCTTTAGCAACACTTTAAAAAAGGAAATTTCATGACAGGTATTTAATTAATTTCTACACATCTCCACCATTTATTACGCTGTCATGTTAGAATTTTCCATTGCGTTTCTCATCTAGAAAGTTTCCTTTCGTTTGCCTAGCATTTTCCACAAGAATATTTATGCCATATCGTTAGGCAGTATCTATTGACAGCTGAGGCTTTTGACGCCCTCACACGCAACATGCTCTCATTGTTTATAGGCCAATGTCCTTTCCCCTACGGAAAACATTCCTCAAGCTGAGTTTGGGTTGTTACTTGGGCGCATATATCAAAAGATATCAAATGGGGCATATATTCTAGCCATTGATGAATGACAGTATGAATGGATTGCCATTTCAATGAAAGTGCAGATATTTTTAGTGCTGAAATTTCCTAGAATGTAAGAGAAAAATTTTACTAGAAAAGTGCCCTTCTATGGGAATGAAATACATACAAGAGCAGGGCGTAACTTTTCCAGGAAAATTATATCCACAAAATGGATTAATTTTGTTAGAAAGTTGCATTTGAAAACTGACCTTCTCTAGGCGGAAATTTGGTTTGGAAAACTAGCTTAAATTAGGTGGAAATCTAAACATGATAAGTGATGGATTTCAGAAAAAGTTTTTCTTGTGAAAAGTACTCGACTTTAAAGCTATTTTTACCTGAGAGAAACCTGATCGTCTGGCAACTATGTTTCATCTTTTATTTCCCTTCAAAACGTCTTAAAGTTGTGGCAATAAATACGAGTATTAGTTACAAACAAACCTGAATCCTTACAATAGAAAATTCGATGGGAAACCCTCCACCGAAAATACCAAAAATTTTCCCAATTTATCAAATGCGCCACCAAAAATACAAAAACCAAATCGCAATAGATTTTCGGCAGCCCCCCGTTCGTGTCATGCCACACAATGAACAAGAAAAACAAAAACAATGTCAAGGCATTTGTCAACACAAAAAAAGTGATAAATGTTTTAATTATGGGACGCCCCAGCCCCCAGCCGCTTGACACCCAACGTCTTGCTATTTGCCATCCCACGCCTTGCCCCATGCCAGCCAAAAATATTCAATTACGCGACATTTCCCGTTGTCAAGGTGCTGGATGGAAATGGTTGGAAATGGGTTTTTCCGCAATGCCAAAGGTTGCCCAAAGTTCCAATAGGCTCAAGTTTTTTACGTGGCCATGCAAATCGAAGGGTAATTTGCACTTAAAATCCCTTTTTGAAGTGGTTTTTTAATTGGTGACAGCAGAAATGATTGGTACAGGCAGAAGACCTGCAATTTATCTTTGCCTATAAGCAAGCCCTTTCCTTCTGCACCACGTGGTGTATGCGCAATGGAAAATCCTTAAATTATTCAATCGTTTGGAAGCGGCATCCTAAAGTCAGACAGACACATCGACGCCCACACTGATTTATGCTGTGGATTTTTGCTCGTTTTTTTTATATTTTGGCGGCCTATGGAAATTGTGAAATATTTATTTGTGCAAAAATTAGGGCCAAAAGGAAGATGCAAAAAACCAGAGGCAAAATCAGGGTCAAAGGCAAAGCCCAAGATGCACGTGCCGTCATTCCTAATTGATTGACTGATTGATTGATTGGCAAGCAAACAGAAGGCAACAGCTGAAATGAAAAGCAAACGGCAAACATTTCTTACAACATTTTTATTGGAGAGTACGGAGTAGGAGAGATTTTTGTTTCGATTCTTTCCAGTTCATTGGCTTACATTTATTCAAGCCAAAAATCTCACTTTAAGCCCTGAAAGCCTCTGTGGTTTAAAGCCTGCTCTCTGTCCAGTGACCCCAAAATTAGTTGGCCAAAGCAGAGTTTGGAGTTTTCCTAAAAGTTTGAGCCACCGCTTAATTGCTTTTCAATAGCAAAAAAGAAAACTACTAGGAAAGAATGTGCTACTACGATGGATCCTTTGCAAGCACGCAATGTGCCACAAAAACCTCATTAAAGGTCTATGCTGCCGTGTTGCAACAACTCTTTTTCCCCTGCCATCTGTTTTTGCTGCTGTTGCTCCTGCTGCCGTTGCGTGTTGTGTTGTCATTTCGGATGTGGGGCGAGGCGTGACCACCAGCCGTCGTTCAACAATT